TAATTATGTTTAAGGTTTTAACGTAGGCACTCCAGAAGACATCAAACCCTCCTAATTCTTCAAGTACCAGCATAATCTCTCAAGTCTCTTCTCAACACAGGCTCCAGAGAAAAGAATAACATGCAGCTACTAAAAACTCTAGCCAAGAACAGTCTTCAAATAAAGAGGGTCAGTGCTCTTGCAGAAGGTTCAGCAGCTGAAGATGACACCAGGCAGTTACACCTCGACTTCACCCTAGACATATGAGATGTCTCTGAAGCCTGACCTGGAATGCACTATCCTGCCCTCACTGGCTCCAGAGATGTCACCATGAGGACTTGCATTTCCTGAAAGTGGCCCTCCAGAAAATCCTTGCTTCTAGATCAAGCATCTCAGCTTAAAATCAGTGCCCACATTTCAGAGAGGCTGTGGGGAACCTGCTCTAAAGATAGGCTCAATCTCATCCACTGAAAGACTGAATGGAGTTGGAGCTGGGGTGCAGACATAGAGTGGCTCCTGATTTTTCAGGGGAAAAAACAGGTTCCCTGAATCACAATAGCAAGTACTCTTAATTTCATTAATGAACTGTGCCTCAAGAAAAGCTGGAAGGCAAGAGCAAAGAGTTTTATGCACTGTTATACTCGATGACACGACAGAGGATGACAGAAGACACTGATCCCACTGAGTAATAGAAGCTAAATTATCTCCTCTGCCCACTTTTACTATAGCTAACTAAGTAATATAGATGAGAGAAGATAAAGGGATTCAAAATAAGCATATTAAGCTTTTCATGTTTCTTTTTTAAAAAACTGCAGAAATTAGAAGAAGAAATTAAGACCAAAAGCACCTCAGAATATTTTTTTTTACTTTCACCTACTTAACAACAGAAGAAAGGGCACTTTTAGGCTATTGCCATAGATCTGCTGATCCACAACTCATCATATCAGACTGCAGACCTTCCATCTTTGCATAACACAGCAGTCAGTAATCCTCAGCATTCCAGAAACAGAGTCAAAAGCACGATTTAAACTGATCTATACCCACTGCCACACAGAGGCCAAGGCCATTGAGGTGGGCACATGTATGAGCAGCAGCTGCTGTCAACCTAATGGCTTGAGGGCTGCTGAGGTATTTTTCCAGGCACAGACAGAAATTTTGACTTGAAGTGATACACAGGAATTCAGCAGCTGAAGATACATCTTCACAGATTCTGAAGGATTGAACTGTTTGCCCAACAGCAGTCCAAGTGCTGCTACAAAGTAGCTAAGAGCTCATAAAATTACATTACTCGTTGCCTCTAAGATTAACACACTTTCACCACAGAAACGGCCTTAGCTTTTGTCAAGTAACACAGAGAGCAGCTGCTTTGACAGATCATTAAAGAAAGAAGTCTTCTCAATTTACATATTGCAGATTATCTTATTTTTAAAAAATCTGAGAAATCAAGGAGATTATAGGGCATTTGCATTCTCACTCATTTGCATCAGATGCAAAGAAGCTATAAGAATGTTTTGGTTTACTTCCAGAGCTATCTTTTAGATCTGGTACTGAAGAATGAAACACCACAGATACTTGAAAAGTAACTGGGTAGTAAGAAATACCTTAAGTATCTTTGTGTGGCAAAAGATGCAGAAGTTCGGGGGAAATTACAGTTATCTAAAATCATGTAAAAATTTTTGAGTGCTACACAAGTTTGTTCGACAAGATGTGTCTTCAAAACCGTGCAGCTCCCGTTCCAGAATCTCTGCAATATCCTATTTGAAATGGAAAGAAATTCATCTTCAGGAAATGAAATTGATTTTTTAAAACTGTGATATGTGTATGCACATATCTTCCTAAGTCCTGGACTAATCCTTTCCATTCTCCCTCCTCTCAAAGGCAAAAATTTGTGGTACACCTTCCCAACATTACTCACTCATTCCCCATGCACTACCCTGCAGGAAGAGCTTACAGATGAAATGAACAGCTGAAAGTGAGAACTGCCTTGCAATACAGCCCATCCATCTCCCAAACACAAACTGCAGTTTTACTCCAGATTTGAACCATCTTCTTAGAAGAAATGTGTTTTTCTCTGGAGATAGGCAAGAACATCGTAATTCTTGAATAAATATTTAAGACCATCAGGAAGGGAGTAGGGCTTTCCCTCCACACCCCACACCCAATTTTTCTGCCTGGAAGGGGAAACAAAAGACAGGAGCACTAAAGAAAACAATTTAAGGGAAGATGTAAAGTGAACGTCACCAAGGGGTAACCACTGTAACAATAAAAATAAAAGCACTCAAGAATGTCAAGGGTGCCCAGGGGAAGAGGTGGGAAAGCAATGCAAGGAATACAGAGAAAGTCCAATGGGAACCATTGTTTGCATACCCAACCCTAAAGCACAGTTTTCACAATGATTTTCTACCTACATCACTGCTGCATTTTTCTAGAAGACAGAAACACAAATATTTTCCAGTAGCCTACAAAACTAAAGATTTGAGAAAGGCAAAATGAGCATTAAAATATTATAGCCTATATACCAAGGGAGCAGTATAATAAGATGTGTGTTTTATCATTTGATAGACACCAATAGCAGCATTCACAGAAGAAACACTATAGCTTTTAGTGACTAATCAAAACATCTGTCACTTCATAATCAAGTGTATACTTCATATGAATGACCTTTGATCCAATTAGTTCTGAAGCCCCTCGATTTCTGGAAACAGCTTGTCAATCCATCCTCACCCTTCACATTTTAGACTGCATCCTCCTTCACATTAGGATTAGGTTAATTTCTCTTGATCTTTTCCACCCTAACTCCTCTGCCTCACTCAAAAAACAGCACTTACAAAGTAGCTGATGCTTGACTTTGCCTTTTGATAGTAAGCAGAACAAATTTTTCCATCCCAAACTGTAACAGTAAATAATCCAGAGCTCACCACTGAAGATCCTACACTTTCTCAAAATACCATCTGTCAATATCCCTGCAATCCAGGAGCAAGAACTCTGCAATGAAAATGGCAGCATGTGTTTTCCATTATGGTAAACAACCACATTAGCCACAAGCTGATGGCAAAAAAAAAGTTGATAAAACTGTGGTGATCAGCCAAAGTTGCTCCAAAAGTAAAGCACATAACCTTGCTTCACAATGCATACTGTGACATTCACAAAAGGGTCTCACAAGCAGGTTAAGCACGCAGGCTTTTAAGTAGTTAAGATATGCCTGTTTTGCAAAGCTAAAACAACAGGAATAATAACTATTCTCACTCAAATAACAACTCAAAAAATGAACATGACAGGGAAATTTTGGATGGAGGGCAGGTGGGAGGTACACACAGCCACGGCAATACAGGAACCATAGCACAGCTAACTGATGTCAGGATAACCACTTTGTTTAAGAACAGATCCCAAACAACTTGGCTCTGACAGTTGTAAGCTACTGCTTATCTACACATGACACACAAAAAAGTAGCACTTCATTCCTAAAGATGTGGCCTCAGTAACTAAAAGAGGGAACCTGGAAAGAATATGAACTATCACTATCAACAGACTCCTTTTTTCTACAGCCCATCTACTGGGCAACACAAGGTACAACAGCCACAGCTGGAGTTCTGAACATTCCTGAACTCTTCTTTTTGTTTCATCTGTCCTATATTTTAGAAACTGATTTTGACTGCATGTGCCACAGGGACTGGGGAAGCTAAGAAATAAGATCACACACACACAAAAAAATAAACCCACACAGTAAAAGACAAGAACTTCAAAGGCATATTACAGACTGTCTAAACCTATGTTTAATGCAGCGTTTAAACACACCAGCAATTAACATCATAGACAAAACAAGTCCTTGTTAAATATTAAGTACCTGTGCCCTCTCAGATAGGGAGAAAGGGCTCAACTTAGGTGCCCGAAAACATCCAACAGTGAAGATGCCTTAAGGAAAAATGCCACAGTATTCACGTATTCTTTATAACTCATCACATATTAATAAAAATAAGTAAATTAAACCCTCTCCTTTTAATCTCATACAAATAACCTTTAAATAATTCTTATGCCAGTAAGATATATTTCAAGCTGTTTCCAAAGGAACACTATCAGCATAAGTAACCTTTCTTTAAAATCCCCTGTATTACTAATTTCAGTATGGAAAAGCAGGTATTTTATCACCCACCATCATATTTTAACACATCTTTGACAGTGAAATCTGTCAGCCTCATTAAGATCCAGGCAGCAGGGTAGGATTTAGGCAACTGAAGTATGTTAGAAGCAAATATACTGTATAATCATGATTTAAGGTTTTTTACCAGCGTTTTGAATGCTTAACTTCACATGATCCAGTCCTGAACATTTAGAGGCTTGCACCACACAAAGCTTTAGGTGGCCCCCCAAAAGCTGTTGATACAGCATATCTACCCTTGATACTCTTATTCTATCTGTGATTTCTTTACACTGGCAAATACAATTAAGGAAACCCAGCCACCGGCACCTTCAATCGTCTGGATTAACATTAGAGCAAGTGATTTTAAGGGCCAGAAAAAGGCAATTGTGCCATCTGCACTAGTTCTGTGTCCTGCACGTCATAGGCTGACAGCCTCTGGATCACAGCATGAAGTCTTTTTCAGATCAAAGTTCTTGTGCACTATTCAGCAACAAGCAGCTGTTTTGAGTAAGCACATAATAGCTGTAGAAGAGATGCGGCAGTTTTTCAGTCACTTGTACTGCCTCCACAAATGCCATAACTTAACCCCCTTCTTTCCATGGCTGATGCATGGAATTGGCCAGGTTGAGAAAATAAATCAGCCACTGGAGGACACCTCGCATCTGCCCTCTCAGGTCTAGCTCGCCAGAAGGCTAAATTCACACTGAGGAAGGCAACACGGAGCCACAGTTACATATGACAGCTGGAGGACACAGGGCTAGCGCTCAGAAGTTGATACACGTTTGGGAGGACGTCAGTGAGAGGAGGGACAGCAGAAAGACATATTTTAAGGGATCTCCCTGTCACCCAGTCCCGCTGCCTTCCCGGCGAGCGAGGCACCCACCTGTGCCGGTGCTCGTCGTGCCCTTGCCCGTGGATGAGGAAGCCGCCGAGGTTCTTGCCCCCCTTGCTGGTGTCCACGTGGGGAATGAGCACATCCTCCAAGCCCAGGTCAAAGCGCTTGTGCTTCGAGGAGTCGGGGAGGAAGAAGAACGCCCCGAAGCACAGGGTGATGAAGGCACTAAGAATAAGGAGCAGGATAAATTTTTCGGAGAGTCTCAAGGTAGCCCTGTGGTGCGGGAAGGCGGAGGCCCCCAGGTTCAGCGGGGGCAGCCTCCGCCCGGAGAGCGGCAGCAGGGCGGGAGTGGTCATCCTTCCGCTAGCGACCCCCCGGCGGGGCACGGCTCATCCCCTCAGCCCCTGCGGAGGGCGGCCCCGGCCCGCCTCGGGGGCTGCGGGCGGCTGCACCATCACCATCCTCCCCGCGGCTGCCGGAGGAAGGGAGGACGGGGGGGAGGCCGGGCCGCCCCGACGGCCCCCGCCCCCACGGGGGCTCGGGCCGGGGCGCTGTCGCCCCGCTACCTGCGCGCCCCCCTCCTTCCTTCCTTGCCTCCCTCCCTCGCCGCGGGGCCAGCCGGGCCCGAGCGAGCGACTCCGGTCAGCGGCGCTCCCCGAGCTCCGCGGCCGCGGGGCTGCGGGACGAGCGGCAGCGGGGAGCCGGGGGCCCGGCCTGGCGCGCGGCGTCTCTCCACCCGCGTCCCCTTATCCGGGCCGGGCGGAGGCGCATCCCCCTGGCCGCGCCGGGGCCCCGCTGCGAACGACGCCGGGAGCGGCCGCCGCGCCGGTCCCGCTCCGGACCCTCTGCCCGCCCCCACGGCGCCTGCGCGGCGGCGGCGGGCGGCGCACGCGCGTGGGGCGGGGGCGGGGCGGGGCGGAGGCGGGGCCGGCGCGGCCCCCGCGGGGAGCGGGAGCGGGGCCGGCCTGAGGGAGCCGCGTTTCTCGGGGGAAACGCCGCACGGACACGCAGCTGCGGGACAGGGCCCATGGGTGGGCACAATGATGCTGAGGGGACTGGGATGTCTCTCTTACGAGAGAGCTGCGGAAGCTGGGCCTGTTTTGTCTGGAGAAGGCCGAGAGGGGATCCCATTAATGCACATAAATATCTCAATGGTGGGTGCCTAGAGGATGGTGCCAGACCCTTTCCTCTGGTGCCCGGCCACAGGGCGAGGAGCAGTGGCCATAAACTAAAATACAGTAAGTTTCACCGAAACAGGAGGAAGAACTTCTTTACACTGAGGGTGGCAGAGCACTGGAACAGGCTGTTCATGGAGATCCGTGGAGTTTCCCTCTCTGGAGACACTGAAAGCCCACCTGGATGCATTCCTGCTCCATTATTTGCACACAGTAACCTGCTCCAGGTGACCCCGCCTTGGCAGGGGGGTTGGACTAGAGGATCTCCACAAACTCATCCTGGGCACCCGATAAGACAGAGCACCATGACAAGGTTTCATGCAAAGGCAAAAGGAAAGACCTGGTCAAGGGAGCTGCAGGATCCAGATTCAATGGAGGTCACAGAACAAAAGTAGGTTCATAAATTTCGGAGACAAGTTTCACTGGCAGCTTTTTTCAGAGCAAGGTGTTTTCCACATTATAAAGGTTTAACAACACTGGAGACTCAGGTACTCCCAGATTATGGAGACCAGGGTCTGTTTAGTGAAACTGGCAGCAAATGTGAATCACAGCTGAGGAGGTATAAAGGCAGGGGAGAGAACAGGTCAGCTCAGCCTGCTGAAGTGAAGCTAACTGGGCTGGAGAGGACTTCCCAGGTGCAGGCAGCAACCCCAGGGTCTGGTAGGAGTGACAGGATGAGAACTGAGCTGAAGCAGCAGGCAACAGCTCCCTGCAGGAAACCTCCCCGCTGAGACAAGCTCCAGAAGGAAGAGGAATCCCATCTAGAGGTGTAAATACACAAAGAAAGTGAGAGAGAAAGCACTGAGACACGTGTCCTGCAGGTAGGCAAAGCAGACACGCAGCCAAGAGTGGTTTCCAGTACCACAAATGCTGCCAGTGGCCCTGAGTGGAGTGCCTTGATCCCTGTCACAGCAGCTGGAATCTGAGCAATGCAGGTTGGATAACAGCAATCCCAGGCATTTAGGTTTGTTATCTGGCTTACACTTTGTTTTACATGTTTTGAATTTGTTGAATCATGTTGGCCTGTGGAAGAAGAACTCCAAGTCCAACTGGATGTGCTGAAGATTAGTCCTCAGCTTCTCGTCTGAGTGTGGTTTACTATGAAAATTAAGCCCTCAAGAAAGGTTACTTTGGGATGTTTCCAGGGAAGGAAAGCAGCTGAGCTAACAAAAAATACTCTGACAGTCGATATAGTGGCACAGGTGTGGGTGTGTCAAAAAAATCCAGATTAGGGAACACTTAGGGCCAATCAAGTTAGTTGAAGTTAACTGCTCAAGGTAAAGGAAATCTTGACAAGATTAACTTTTCTGCTCTGACCACTCCTTATTCCTCACAACCAAGCCGTGAATCCCACCTTGCTGGATCTTATTGTGTACCATGTTGGCCTTTCCCATCTCTCCGCCCAGCTAAACTCTTTCATCAATTAATTTTGCTTCTTCTTCTCTGTTTTCTACAAAGAAGACCTGTGACAATTCCATGCAGCAGACAGCTGGGCCCTGCTCAGTAGTCTTGCCCTACTGAAAAGCAGAACAAAGTGAGAAAGTGAGGTGATAAAACCCAAAAAAACAGTGTGGGACAGAGATACCAAAGAGAGGAGATGCAAAAAGAGCTGTATTATCAATGATATTACTATGCACTCCAGTCAGTACAGAAACTAAACCCAGCATTTAATGTTGTTAGAACAGGATCAACATGCTTCAACTGGTCTGCTGGCCATTTCAACTGTCTTCTAGTTTTGATCTGGTAAAGTAAATTATCTTCAAATATGTTCATGTCTTCACTTGTTAAATTGCTTTTACACACAGTCTGGAAAACAAAGATCAGTCCATGAAGACTTTTGTTCTTCAGTCTTTTTGCCCTTTGCTTCACTCTTCTCTGCCAACTGCTACTTTTTCCTTTGCTTTAAAAGACTGAGCAGAAGCTTCCAATTTCTTTAGAAAATGTTTCTTTGTGTTTAGCTTATTGGAAGAAAGTGACATTTCTGTAGGTTTTTTAGTTTATGATGACCTTTGCAAATTCTAAAGCATCTGTGTCTAAACCGTGATGAAGTTTTGTTTTTCTACAATTTTGTGCTTGTTTTGACTTCCTTACTTTTTACCAAAGACTAATAGTAATTTTTCATCCTTTGGCTCTGTCATACTGGGTAATATGCATATCCCTGTAAGTTTGCCAGTGATTTTCCACGCTGCAGTGGTGTTACTCTGTAGCTGAACAACATTAAATATAGCACCATATTGAATTAGTTGGGTTTTGTGAGCCTGTGCTACATTGTATAGATTTTGCATCTATTAGCGTTTTATCACAGACACCCAGAACACTCTCAGAAGTGTCCTGAGCTGAAACATAAAGGTTTTTACAAGAACCAGGAATTTCCTGTACTCACTGCCTTGACTTTGATCAATTGCTAATGTAACTGGGAACTTGAGGTCCAAAAGTGCTTGATCATCAGTTCTAAAGTCACTGTATTTCCACAACCCAATATTTCTGGAAAGCTATTAGGGTAGTCCACATTTTTCAAAGGTACACAAAGTAAGTCTTGTAGAAGTACAGATCCATATCAATGTACTATTTCTTTCTTCTTGAAACTGCAGTGATCCTTTCTAGCATCAGAATTTGGGCACACAGTCTGGATTCATTGTTTGTGAAGCCTCTTCTTCAGTTTTCTCTCCAAAACTGTTCAGCCTTTCCGGGTTCCGTGGAAAATCCGATGTATCTTGAAAAAACATTCATGTTCTCTTGGACTCAATGGTGACTGTGTTCCCAAGAGCACATTCATTATGAAATCTAAAGTCTAGAGATTCACTAGTGGCTCCTGTGGCTGTCTTTATGTTTTCCCCCTATCCCTCCAATCACGGCCCATCTGAAAAAGACTTTACCCTCAGCCAGCCTTTGCCAAAAACCTTTGGTCTTTGGCCCATTGCCCTGCTCTCTATATCCTCCTCCCTGTGTTGCTGGGTGTATGTAAACGTACACTTTACTGTTATTTCTATCAAAATAATAATCACAAATTGACCTTTGCAATTCAGATCCCATCTTCTTCCAAGCAACCCTTACCCTATAACTTTATGAGGGAGTCTAGCCTTGGTCATCCTTAAGGTGGCTATAGCAGGATGATTATTACTGTCCTAATCTCATTCTCCTCCTTCCATTTTCAATCGAGATGAGAACACACTCTTCTCCTAATTCAGTCCTATATCATGTGCAAGTCTACTGCCCTGAATTCTCCCTATGTCCTCACATCCAAATTCTGACTCGCACCTTGCTGACTTTTTTCTATGTAGCATACCAAAGATACAAACTTTCTGATCCGTCGCCTCAGCCAAACTATTCCACCTAGGTATTATCATGCTTCCTTGTCTCTGGTTCTGAAAAAGGCAGTATTGCACTTTTCATGTCCATTCAGAGTTCTTCTGGAAATGCATTTTCTTTGTGAGTGACTGCCCTTGCTGTATCACTTCAAGCTTTGCATATTCCCAATCTTTCCTGACATGCCTTCCCCCTCTCCTAGGATTTCTGATTCATCTCTAAGACACCAGCTCCTCCTACACCCAGTTGGCCCATAATATCAGCCTCCAGCACCTATTTATTAATGTTTCAAGTACTTCCATGCTTTCTTCTGTGCTTCCCTAAGGCATGAAAGGACTTGCACATCAAAAAGAAATTTGGGAACCATGAAAGTGTATTAGACTGCACCAGAAAATTTGCAGCTATGAAAACTGAACTTACTTATGGCAACTTCTCTACAGAGACACAAAATGGGCATAAATATCAGATTGTAAAGGAAAATGTGATATCTATGAGTGTGTATTTGAATCAGCAGCAGTAACGCCGTTCTTTGGCTTGGAAGTGAAAATAAGTTTTCCAGGGATGGTCAGAAAAAAGAACCAAGACCTGCACAGCTTCAAGGCCTTGAAACCAAATAGTTGCCTGTAGTGTGCACTGGGAAGACTGTCCCTGAATTATTGCAGCTTGTTAAGTGCATGGACAAGTTAAATATATCACCTGCTTCATGATCTACATTTGCATATGGTGGGACTTGATGGCTGAGGTTGTCCCTGGAAATAAAAACCAAGCTGATCATTCAAATGGACATGAATCTCACACATTTGATGGTCGACATCCTAGCACAATCTGCTTTAAAAGAAAAACAGGATTTATGCCCCATTTGTGCAATCCTAAAAATAGAATTGCTAAGACATCTTTACGATAATAGAGTTGAGAAATTTCTAAGTAAATAAATTATAGCTTCCCATTGCCAGAAGTTTATTACAGAAATGAGTCAAGATAAAGATTTTCAACATTATAAAAAACAGGTCAGAGTCTGCT